CGCATGGGAGAAGGTCTGTTTACCAAGAGGAGTAGGGGGCTTAATGTTCTTAATTAGAAAATATGAAATCAAGCTGTTGTGTGTAAACTTCTATAAGCTCTGAGTCAGAACAAAGAGATGTTATGGATTACCTGGATACATACATATTATATAAAGAAGCAGAACCTATTTACTATGGAGGTACCAAAACAAGCTTCTTGAATGGTGAAAAATATTGAACATGAGAAAAACCTGAAAAACACTAGAAGCATGTCCTCAACTTATCAGAAAAGGAAATTTCACATTAAAGTTGCTTATAGTGCACTCAGAGGAGAGGTTGATAATGTCCCTTGGAAGAATCTTGTTTGTCACAATGCTGCATGTCTTAAACAAGTCTTTATATTATGGTTGGCTTTATAGGGAAAATTGAGAACTAAGGGTCCTACTTAATTGGGGCATGAGGCTTGATAGTGATTGTGTTATATGCAAGTCCTATCCTGAAACTTTTCTACACTTATTCTGTGAGTGCAGTTTTTAAAGAACTTTCTGGCAAAATATATTGAGATGGCTGAAATGGCAAAGAAACATTATGCCATTGGAATCAGAGTGGCGATGGGTTCAACGGAAAGCAAGAAGGAGGACCTCTCAAGGAACTTTACTTAAAGCCTGCTTTGCTGTTGTAGTGTATGACATTTGGAACGAAACGAATACTCGAGTTTTTCAAAATAGAGCTACAAACATGGAAACAATGATGCATGATCTGAAAACCTCTATATGCATTAGAGTTAGGGGTAACATGAAGTTGTTTGAGTTTATTTATTTTTTTGTAGGAATTTTGATGTTTTTAGTAGATAAGGTTGTTGGTGTCATAGGATAGTCATGAGAAGTGTAACCTGGTAGGTTGCCTTTGTTTGTACAAATTACCGGTGATTAATAATATTATTTTAATTGCAAAAAAAACTTTCACAAATACACAACAGTACCTTTATTAATAACATTCATTATATTATTGCAAATCATCTCCTGAACATAAATAAATTTAGTACAAAATTATTATTTTTACACTATCAGATGATCGAGAAGATGAAGCAGCATTGTTACAAATAATAAATGGTGGGCTCTTTTATAAAATATAAAAGTTTGGGGTAATTTTTAAAAAATGTAATAGTGATATTTTGGGCCAAAAGTTTTGGGGATTTGCCAAAATATAGAAAAAATTATGGTCAAACATATATTTGCCAAGAAAAATTCAAATATATTTTGGAAGAATTTATGTCCAAACAAGTCCTAATAATCATGGGTTGGAGCAATGGTAAAGTTATCTTTGCGTAACCTATATATGTTATTGTTCGAGTCATGAAAGAAATCACTGATATTTGTATTAAAAAAGATTATCTATATTACACTGCTTGGGATGCAATCTTTCTTTAAACCCTACATAAACGCAAAGTACTTTACACATCAAAATGTCCTGCTAATATTAATAATCAAGATACGAAAACAAGCTGATAGGAACATCAAATGAACCAAATAACGTCGTGTCGTTTTCTTTTTATGGCAAATGGTGGTTTACAACAGGAGAACATTTAAGGCTAGCTTGGGGCAGTGTCAGTCGTCAATTCCCTCACGGCCACAAACTGCTTGCATTGAATATCTCATTCCAGAAAAAAAAAAAAAAAAAAAAAAAAAAAAAAAAAAAAAACTTCCCAAATTTCCAGTCTGTTTTCTTCTCCAACAGTTTAAAGAAAGAACCCTCTCGTAGCGTTTAGCAAGTATAGTAGTAGCAGCAGCTTTCTTCAACGTCATTGTACACGTGTCTGTCTCTCACTGGTTTTGTACAGTCTTTAAACCAACTCCCTGGATACGTCTAGCAGCATTTTGTATGGCTCCACAACATTCAATTTTATGATAAGGGCAAAACATAAGCAAAATCTTGGTTTTTTTGTTTTTATTTTTATTTGGTGGCCGATATTTAGCTAATTCGGATTCGTGCCGCTTAAGATTTAGTAACAAAAAAAGGCTTCGTAACAAGATTTATCACGACTCGAACCCAATATATGTAGTTAATCAATCTATTTTTCAAGGGAGTTCAACTGACTACTCTAACATTGGAATATTGCATACTGTAAATAGCAACAAAATAATTTTTTTTTGGTTGAATCACCTCAACATGAGAAAAGATTATAGTGTATTAGTAGAGGGATTTTTAGGTCATAGATTCAAATCATAGGTGTGATACTTCATCTACGCATTCTATCATGAATCTGTGGCTCCAAATTATTGTTAATTAATTTTAGTATTAAGCTTCCAAAAAATCATTAATAAGCAACAAATTATCTTTGAAAATCAAATTTAAGAGACACAAAATGTTGTCATAATGCGCCTTCCCCGCCTGCAACGTTTGGCAAAAAAGTTGGGTTATTATCGACCCGTGTCAGAAACTATTTATATTCGATAACCCAAAAAATATATAAAAATTTGTATAATTTTCATATATAACATGCATAATATATATATATATATATATATATATATTTTAAGAACAGCTATACAATATCAACTCCATAAAAAAAAAAGTTTGGTGTGACAAAAGATAAGGAAATAGAGATTTGTGGGGTTGGCGAAAACTAAAAGCCAGCTGTGTTTCACATGCTTCTTTTTTATAAGTCTATTGATGATGGACCTTTTTTAATTACCTTTAAAAAAGAAGGACCAATACCTAACTTATATTTTATAAGGAAAGGACAAAAAGAAAAAGAAAAGTTCAGAATTTGCAGCATCCAAAGAATGTCTAACGGTACTTGGCTTAACCCTAACTAACAGAACATATAACCAAACTGAACCCAAAATTATAAACAAAATACAGTTATCGAGCCACACAAGAAATTATTTGTTTTCAATTTACGATAAAGTTTCTTTTTTTTTTTACCAAAAGTTGACTGACTGAATTTGTCATTGCTTAGTTAATTGTGCATTCAACAAATTAATATTATTATATATTATATATAAATATAAAAACTACATATACAGCTCTTCCAATATGGTGAGTTTTTTCAATTATAATAATGATGATTGATCAAAAGATAGCCAATACAAAGGAATAAATTAATAAATATTTTCCTTTTTGGGTTACTACAGTCAAATAATATTCCATATGCTACAGCATTGAATTCTAGAGAAGGACAGAAAATTTGCTATGTCCATACAATGGTTTGTACAACTAATAAAAATAAAAAGTACTCGACCGATAAACAAAATAACGTTTCTCAACTGAAAAAGAAAAAAAAGACAAAATAAGTAAAGGGATGCGCAAAATTTAAATTACTTTGAAAAAGAAAAAAGAAAAAGTTGATCATAAGGATGAAAAAAGATCACACACTATCATGTAGTATTTGAATTTTCTATTTTAGCTCAAGTTTGGACATAATTTTTTTAGTTTTTTCAAAAAAAAAATTAAAAAACTATTTGTTTATGGAATTTAATCAGTTTTTAAAAAATAATTATGAAGAAAAGGTTTCAAGTTCCTAAGACAAATCAGTTTTTAAATGAATTTTTTTTCTTCCAAAATTTTAACTTTTTTTTCAAGTAAAATGCAAGTCCAAACACAATTTTAACTTTTAAAATTATTTTTCAACACAATTTCCAATAAAAAAAATTCCAAGTTTCAACAAAAAAATTTATTCTTTCTTTTTTCTGTTTTAATTGGAAAAAAATATGTTACCGTTAGAAAGAGGATGTGTTAGCCATAGGGCTGGCTTTTCGGCTGCCAGGCTGAAATGGGCAAGAAAACAAAAGTCCCCACAAAAACAACTAAATACAGACCAACAGATAATTAGCCCTCACATGGCCTCGCTGTCTCTCTTGTCCCACCCAATCTCCCACACCCCACCCCACCCACCACACCAAACCCCAATTTCCACTCCGGTGATGTTCGAAACAGCATGTGTACCCTTCCGACTATTTTTATTGGATATCGGCTATCTCCTACCCATATAACTATTGCAATTTTTTAGAATAATCTAAAATTGATCTTATGAGTATTTGATCGACGTAAAGATAACAAGTAAAAAATAATCAATTGAACATAACATACTCAGTAAAATTCAAAAGTCTTGAGAATGAATTGAACAACAATAACAATAAATAACTAGACCCTTAAGGATACATTGGATAGTCAATAAAGTAGGTAAAAATTACGAAAGACTAAGATATAAATCCAAAGTAAAATAATACAAGGTGATATTATTCCATCTGGCTAAGATTGGTGGTAGATTTACTGGATATTTGCACTAATGGAAGCATAACAACTATTATGTGAAATAGTTAAGGTAAACACAAACTAGCGCACCTAGACTAATTACTACTCTCTCCGTTTCATATTAAATGATTTACTTTCCTTTTTAGTCAGTTTTAAAACAAATGACACATTTTTAAATTTGGAAATAATTCAACTTTAAACTCTTTCATTTTATCCATTTACCCTTAATAAGAAGCTTTTATAGCCACACAAATGTCATGGTCCCACAAACTTTTTACCCCTTAAGCTTTTAAGACTACAAGTTTCAAAAGTCTTATTTTTTTTTCTTAAACTCCGTGCCGAGTCAAACTACCCATATAATATGAAACGGAGGGAGTAGTTTTTTTTTATACAATACAAGTAATAGTATTTGGCTTTAAAAGTAATGGATGCACAAGCACTCACTATAGAGTAGATCCGCCACTGGTTGAGTTTCCTTTATATCAAGTTAATGTATCCAGATAAATACATTAAGTGAACACTTAGTCTCAATAGCAATTTCCAGATTAAAAATAGTTGAGCATCCATGATTTGAAAATTGAAAATTCTGCGCCCGCCACTGAACTCAACTACACAACAATAATTAGAAACCACCATAATTTAAACTAATATCACCATGCATGATATACATTAATGATATCTTCTTGACAGGAATATTTCGTTGTTCCTTCACTTGTATTTCCTAAAATGCCCTTCCCTTATCCATAAAACCTAACACAAACCCATCACCTTCTTCTCAGACAAAAGCACAAAAAAAAGCAGCAAACCAAAAACTCAAAACTCTTCTCTCTTTCACTGCAAACTTCTAAACGATAGTACTTTTACTTTCATCAAAGAAAACATGTCAAAGGACGTAATTGAAGAAGGACAAACTCATCAACATGGAAAAGACTATGTTGACCCTCCACCAGCTCCTCTTCTTGACATGGCTGAACTTACCAAATGGTCCTTTTATAGAGCTGTTATTGCTGAGTTTATTGCTACTCTTCTCTTCCTTTACGTCACTGTTGCCACTGTCATTGGCCACAAGAAGTTGAACGCTGCAGACCATTGTGATGGTGTAGGTATTCTTGGTATTGCATGGGCTTTTGGTGGCATGATTTTCGTTCTTGTTTACTGCACTGCTGGTATTTCTGGTAAGCACAATAACCTAACTTTTTCCTATGAATTGTTGTTTAGAGGCGAATGCAGAGTCACTAATATTTAGCAGGTGCGATTTATTATGTATTATATTCGGTTCACAATAAGTGTCCAATTTATTTTTAACACGTCCATTAAGAAAATACTAAATTCAATACAAAAATACCTACTATGACTAAACTACTCCTAATTAAACATTTAATGTGAGGAGTAATAAAAGCTTTTAGGGGATATGTACATAGGTTATATTTTGTAAAAACAAATTGAATTCTTTCTTGATTACATAACTAGACACTTATTTTGAACCAAAATAAAAAAGCAAATTGGACCCTTATTGTGAACAGAAGGGACTTTAAATGGTTAAAGATTTTTACTGTATATGCATACATGGTATGGGCGGTGGATGCAGGATTTAAGCTCTATCGGTTGATTCCTAAAGAATTTTTGTCATGAACCCATTATATTTTTAAAATTATGGGTTCAAACCTATTATTTATTACAATTTTAGTAAATTTTTACACATAAAATTATGTTTCACATTTGGAAATACTGAGTTCAATTGAATCCGGTATTACAGCTCTACATCTACCTCTGGTGCGGGCCAACTTTGAACGTGCTAGAAATGACTAGATCCTCCTATTCAAAGGGAGATGTTACATATCTTAATCAGTGACAAGGCTAATAATTTCCGGATGTTCAAACTTGAAAAAATATACCAATAAAGGGTATTCAATATATATTATATATTTCTAAAATTTAATTTTTTTTTACATAGTATAATTTTTTAGACGAAGGTTGGTCAATTGACCCCCTTTAAGACATGCAGCTTCGCCCCTGATCTTAACGATTCATCTGAATTCAGTATTTAGGCACGAAATTAACGATAATTCTAAAAAAAATGCATTAAGTGCTAAAAAAAATCTTGAAGCTTAAACGCACCGAATCCAGTAATTTTTGCACAAATTATATATTTGTGTTAAAAAATTCATTAAATATATACAACTGTTAAATTTATAATCCGGTTAATGGCTCTTAAAATTGCTGTCTAAAATTAGAACACATAATATTGAAATCCTAGCTCGGCTTATGCATTTAGTAAAGAGAAGAGAGAAACAACTAATGAATGTGTTTTTGCTTTTTTGTTGTAGGTGGTCATATTAACCCAGCGGTGACATTAGGGTTGTTCTTGGCAAGGAAAGTGTCACTAATAAGAGCTGTTGCATACATAATTGCACAATCACTTGGTGCTATTTGTGGTGTTGGTTTCGTCAAGGCTTTTATGAAGCATTACTACAACTTAGAAGGTGGAGGTGCTAACTTTGTACAACCTGGTTACAACAAGGGTACAGCTTTAGGTGCTGAGATTATTGGAACTTTTGTTCTTGTTTACACTGTTTTCTCTGCTACTGACCCTAAGAGAAGCGCACGTGACTCTCACGTCCCTGTAAGTACACCTCTCACTACTAGACAAATCTTGAATTTTAAGTACAAAATCTTGAAAATACTTTGTTTGTGTGTATTTAGTGCCCGTTTGGCCATAAAAAAATTCAAAAAACTTTCACTTTTTTTCGAAATCGGTGTTTGACCATGAATTTTCTAATTTTTACTTAAGACGAATTTCAAAATTTTTCAAAAATTTAAAAAATTCCAAATAATTGTTTTTCAAAATTTTCTCTCAGATTGAAAGTAAATAGTCTTTCTATTCTCATAAGATAGGGTAAGGTTGGGTAACCTTCCTCAGACTACACTTATGGAATTACATCGAGTTTGTTGTTGTTGATGTTGTAAATGAGTTCTGATTTTGGTTCTAGTAGGTTGGAAATAGATTTGAGTTTTTAGTACTAATATGGAGTATTTTGTTATTTGGAAATGAAGGTTTTGGCTCCTCTGCCAATTGGATTTGCTGTATTCATGGTTCATTTGGCAACTATTCCAATTACTGGAACTGGTATTAACCCTGCTAGGAGCTTTGGAGCTGCTGTCATTTACAACAAGGAAAAAATCTGGGATGACCAAGTAAGTTTTCACTAATTTAGGAAGTATTTAAGTTATGACAGTGATTTTTTTTCCATACTATCAGTGTAATTTAACATATAGTAATAATAACCATTTATTTCATGTTATCAATTAACTCAATTAGATAGAGTTATTTGCAATTACTACCTTTTAAGAGGTCTGGTTATGTAAATATTTTTTGTACCATCAACACATAACTTGGGACCCGTTTGGTCATAATTTTTTTTTTTTTTTGAAACCCATTTTCAAAATATTGTTTGAGTTATAAATTTTAACTAATTTTTGAAAATATTTTTTAAGACGAGTATCAAGTTTAAAAAAAAATCCATTTTCCCTCACAAAATTGCAATATTTTTTCAACCTATAACTTCAAATACTATTTTTTTTCCCTTCAAAAATCATAATTTTTATGTCCGAACGCCTACTTAGACTCCTTATTTAGGATATACTTTTGATATCCAGCAATTAGTGTTAAGTTTTTTAATCCTTATATATTACTTTTGGGATATGTTGCAGTGGATTTTCTGGGTTGGACCATTTGTGGGAGCTTTGATAGCAGCAATTTACCATCAGTTTGTATTGAGAGCTGGAGCTGTTAAAGCTTTGGGATCTTTCCGCAGCAACCCAACCAACTAAGCAAAAGTTATTCCACCACCCTCACAAACCAGAGAAGAAGAAAATTGAGTTCACGAGTTCAAATTTTTCAAGTCTAATTGTTTGATTTTGTGTATGAGGAATGTATGAACCATTCTCTTTTTGTTCGTTTGGTACAGTTTAATCTTTAATGTTAGCATTGGATGTGTATTTATTTGGTATGAGCAGTGTTGGTGGTGTTTTCCTCTTTTCATTTCCTCTCTTCCCAACTTTCTCTTTCTCTGATAACTTATAATATGTTTGGTTATAGATATTAGCTAATTCCGGAATAAGCCCAAAGGATATTCTAATTTAAACAAGCCCTAAGGATTCACGTTTTTCAGCACTCAAAACCATGATCTCGTTAACTGTTAGCTATCCACGTCAGCTTCATTAATCTGAATTATTGCGTGAAAGGGGAAATAAACTTTATTCCTCCTAGCCAATTCACCGCTTCTCACTGACTTACTACTTAAACAATACCGGCTTGAACAAGGAAAACGATCACTTATCTTCTCTATTTACTTCCCGTAATCGATCCCGAAAGAGCGAAAGTAACCTGGAAAGCGAACCAGTCAATCAAGTGAAATGATCCGTAACGGAGGTTAGCCTTTTCTTTATGATCAAACTCCTCTGATCTCCCTAACACACACCACACTATTGAATATATGATGTATTCTTTTAGATACGCTCATACAACTAAAAAGAAGGATTTATTTAATGTATATTTTGATTTATCGAGTAAGTTTTTCTCCCAGTAGATGGAGGAAGTCTAATCAAAGAAAGATTGGTGGGATATGGAAAATGAAAGGGAGAACTTTGTACTATACTAATCGAAGTTTAAAGAAGCATAATTGTTAAGCATATCATTTAGGATCAGATTCCTTTGATAAAGTATGATTTATATCACTAATTTTTGTGGAGTAATTCTCTTGTCATTTCTAGTGTAGTAATGGAGAATCTTTCGCTCAAAATTGCATTTAAGCTAAGCTTTTGTGGAAATTCAATTTGGGCATCTCTATGTATCAAGCATCTAACCACTTAATAGAATCATTTCATCATTTAAAGTTGCGCTTTTAAATTCTCTCTCGTCCTTTATTGATCTTTGAAACCATTTTCCACAGCCACGATGCCACGTGTCTCTTCAAAGAAACAAAGATGCTCTTCTATGCTGTGGGCTCCCCTTTTCTCTCTCTCTAGTCGCTCTCTTTTCTGAGTCTGGAAAGGTCTGACAAAAGAGTGCAGGCTGGAATGACAAGTGCCTGGCCTCTTTTTGACTTGAATACAAACAATAGGACTAGGTGAAGGAAAAACAAGCAACGGTAACGAAATACTCGTACTACTTTAATTAAAGATAAGAGAGATGGGAATTTCGAGATAACACAGACAAAAAAGCCATACTGGAATACACTTGAAGGGAGCTAGGCCCGAGAATTGCTTTCCTGTAGCCTCACATGGAAGGTGCAAAAGCAAAACAACTCTAGGTCCTCTTACCTATCCCAGACGTATTCTAACATAAAAGGGTTTAAAATGCTTCTTAAATTATTGGAAAAGATTTAAAAATATTTTTTTATTCACCTTTTAATTTACTTATGCCCTTTGACGTTAATTTAATGCTGAATTAAAAATAATTATTATTTAAATTCCACTTGGCTATTAGTTATTGGCCAAAATTAAAGCAGTTAATCCATTACAAAAACCCACTGGTATTTACCGATTTTTCGTACTAACCCGCTTCAAATACTAACCCAACCCAAACAAAAAGCTCAACTAAAAAAAAAAAGAGGCCCCATTTCTATCAAACTCCACGGAACAAAAGCTCCATGGAAGTTGCAGCGAACATATAGACGCAAATTTACTACGTGACGTGATTTTTTTTTTCTTGTTATGGCATCCAGTTCAATTTACATAATACGCAGAAATTGCATTATATTCAAAATGGGTTTAATTTAATTATTTTCACGTAACGAAAGATCTCAAAGTAATTGTTTGCATTATTTTGACTTTTCAAGTAGAATTGACGGAAACACGAGAAGTTGGTTTAGACTTCCAATAATAAGGTCCACCTCGAGTAATACTGATAATAAGTGAAGAATTACTGGAAATCCAAACTTGGATAAAGTAAATTTATCGCAAGGCAAAGCCATGGTTAACTTGTCCTTTATAGATTCAAGCAATAGCAGCAACACTTTACCAGTGTCGCTAATTGCAGTTTCTGGCTTGTAACGCTATGCCAAAAAAGGGAAATAGAACTGTTATATGCCTAGTGGTGTGGCACAATGACAGCAGATCATGGTTAGTTTCAGGCGAATTCCAGCTGTTAACAGTAATGGCTTTTGGTGATTCAAAAATCTTTGCTCCAACTGCCCATTACTCAAGTCTACGCCTACAACAACTATATGGACGCCTTAGTTATGCATCTCACTACTTAAATCATCACATCATAGGTGAGACTTATTCGCTATCAATAAAGGATTTCGCTAAATGCCTTGGAAAACTGGTGATACCAGCATCCTACAAGGCAATAGCTTCAGCTAAAGCAAAATCAAAATAACGTAACCAAATAATTGTTCTGCCCACGAATGATCTATTCTAGCTAACAAGAAGTGACATCCGGAAACCCTTTGTATGGAACTCACCAATTGCGGGAGAAAACTTGCTGTAAATTGTAGCCAAACTATATTAATCACTCTGCGCCACTCGGCCACTCCTTTCTCCAAGCAAATCTAAGCCCCTGATGCTGCACCCAAATGGACTTGACCAGTGCACTGCATATACAATAATAAGTTCCTCTACCTTTTCATTTGGATGCATAAATTGCTAAGAAATGCAAATTCTTCATTACAAGTGTCCCTATGCAACGATAAAATACTTCTTGAATATTTGTTAAAGGATTAATAATAATCCTATACCAGTCGGTGCAAAAAGCTCATACCTTTAATAGATCATATCCCTATTCTACCCTTTCATTTAGGAGAGGAGATGGATTTTAGATATTAACAGTTATCTGGTTTATATTAAAAAAGTTCCTTGCAAATAACTGGATTTACAATATGAACCATAATCAACCACCACAAAGCATTTGCATCAGGTTGAGAGATAGAAATTGACATTAACTGAAATCATGATACAGGAAAGCAACAGCATCAACACGCATCCCACAAGACTGCCTCTTGAATACAGAGAAGTACACGTTGACATGACATGTTAATACCTCAATCAGGCAAAGCAGTTCCTCTCTCAAGGTTATTCTTGATCTCCAAGGTGTATTTTCCAAAAGCACGCTCAATCTTCTTATTGAAGTGCTCGTTACGATCATTAATAGAGTCGATGTCTTTCTCTTCGTGGAACTTTCTCCTCCGACTAAATGACTGGCGCTTCTCATCCCTATCCTTGAGCTCCTTCACCATCCTCTCTATCTTGTCCTCTGACAATTTTGGTGCCTGTACAGTTGGAAGATAATAGTGTAGGGAACCCCTTTGCTGAAGTCTGAAATAAATGAAAAACAAAGCTAGAGATCATGGCTGAAGCACCTACCTTCCCATACTGGAGACTTGAAGCTTCTCGATAAAATTCGGGATCAGCTTCCTTCATTTTACTGTACTCATCTAGATCAACAGCAACATTCTTTGTCCGCTTCTTGTATGCATTGTATAGTGTTTTCTGATTAAAAACTGAAAAATGAAAATAACACAGAGAGAGGTAAGGAAATTAGCTCAGCTTCACCATATATAACTGCATCACAATCCATAAATTCCAAAGTGTCCGAAAAATATAAGGTAAAATGAAGGTCAGCGATATTCCAAGAGAAGGGATTGAGCTTTAAGAAAATATATTTTTACCGTGCCTCATTACAGGCCCGAAGATATATCACATATTTACCAGTGCTCAAGCTTTGTAGCTCTACAGCATCATAGACAGGAATCCATCTTCTACCTAAATTCAAGCTACATAATCCAAGGCTAGCAAATACATGCAAAAATTTTGCCAGAATAGACAATCATAGTCACACATAATGATTAATTTCTCCTAAAATAACTCTAGTTCCAATTAGATATATCAACATAGAGAAAAATTAAAAATGATAGAATATTAGAATTTTATCAACTGAAGGAATCCAACTAATTCCTAGTTTTTCCCCAGTCACAACACCACAACCGTAAAAATGTAAACCTTCTCCAATTAGACACATCAAATCTTAGACAGCGAGATAGGAGTGAACTTGAGGTGAGATTAGATGGAAATGATGTTTCAGGAGAATGGAATGATAAATGAAGATGTTATGCATTGCATTAAAGTAGGATGGTTGAAATGGAGCAGTGGCACATGAGTGTTATGTGATAGGAAGATACCTACAAAAGTGAAAGGCAAGTAGGCAAGTTTAGTAGACTGACTTTTAGGCAAGCAACGTTGTACGGGAGTAAATGTTGGGCCTATAAAGCCCAATATATCCACCAGATGAGTGTCGCAGAGATGCGAATGTTAAGATGGATGTAGAGTTAAACAAGATAGATAAGATAAGAAATGATCACATCCGTCAGAAGGCACATATAGAGGATAATTGAGAGAATGTCGCTTGAGATGGTTTGGCCAGGTATTACGTAGGCTTCCATATGCACCGGTTTCGGTATGTGAGAACATGATGATTGAAGGTGTGAAAAGAGGAAGAGGTAGACATAAAATCGCATGGAAAGAAGTTATCTCAAAAGATTTAAAATATCTCGAAATTCAAGCAGATATATCAAAAGATAGAAACCAATAGAAGTTAAAAATCCATACAGGTGATACCAACTAGAAGCCTCGTGCTTACTAGAACACCCTCAGTATATTAGAGATATAACCACTAGAGTATATTAGAGAACCCCTAGTGTTGGATGATTCTCAAGCACAACATATCGATTATGGACCCAAACAGAGCGTTTATGATATTGAAGAATCATACTGCCAATCCTAACTCTTGGGACTGAGGGGTAGGTTGTTATTGTTGGTGTAAGATCTAAATGCACGCCGGTTTATTAAGCAAAAAATTTTACAAATAAATGCACTGTAATTTTTGTCATCCTCCTAAAGTAAAGTGTAAAGCAGGACACATTTCATCCAAAGATAGTGCTGAAACATGAAAACAAAGATGATCTCACCAAATTGTAGATGATTTGTCTCTTATGTGAAAATATATTCTAAAACACTCTCAGCTCTTTTGAAATCACATTCCAATTGTTACCATTCGTAAGAAATTCATCGGAGAGCTGGATAATACTTATGTTACACAGTGAACACATCAATTAGCTCTCTCATGTCAATATTGCCTTCTCTATGTCATACTATTAAGTCTATACAAACTATAAAGTAGATGAAGCATACTGAGAACAGGAAGTTACTAGATCTTATCTCATACCAAACACACAGGCGTACAGCTTAAATTGTGCATGCTAAAAGCCCTATATACTGCCATTTGTTTGAAGAGTTGATACCAATGAATGACCAAGAATTTACTTCCTCCTCAACCATTTTAAAGAGAAGAATCACGTATGAATCTCACTGAGCCACTAAGGCTTAGGGTATTGAACCCTTTAAAGCTTGATAACTAAGTAGACAATGATTCTTTTGGGCAAAATAAAGTGAGTTTATCTCAGACACACATTTTATGCTTCCATAGGTATGAGCTTCAATGACCATGTAAAGNTGGAAACAGCTCTTGTAGAAATGCAGGGTAAGGTTGCGTACAATAGACCCTTGTGGTCCGGCCCTTCCCCGAACCCCGCGCATAGCGGGAGCTTAGTGCATCGGGCTGCCCTTTAGGGAGGGCTACAAATAGAGCAGTGATGAAAAATCATTCATACCATCCCAACCAGCTGGCGCTGGCTCCTTTTCCCACTTCTTATACTTTGACTCCGCCGACTCTTGTGTATCTAGCATATATGCCTTACTCATATCTAGTCCATTGGCATCTAACAACTTCCCAATTTTCTTCTTCCTTTCCTCGATCCATTTTTGCTTGGACATTCCCCTAGACTCTGGTGGAGCTTCCGTTTTTTTCTTCTCTGCTACCATTGCACTTTGATTAGCTTTTCTTGCCTCATTCTGCATAAAATTCCACAAGCTAGAATATAAATAATCTGATCAGGATACAATAAAAAAACAAAAGAAAACAAGAAAACAAAACACTAAATAGACAAGCTAACTGAATGATGGCATTGCTTTCTAAAGAAACAGAAAGGAAGCATATTTGCAATTACCATTTTTAATCTTAATTCGAATAACTTTTTCTTCCTCCCGGTGAGATTTGCAGAGTCTTCTCCCATATTACCCTGCCCATCATCTTGATCATCTGCATCATTGTGCCTCTCGACATCATCCCTTTCATCAGGTGCAGCTTCGCCCCCGTCAGAACTCACAACTGAGTGGGGCTGAACATTAACAGTATTAGCTTGCAATACACCTGATAGCACATTAAAAAGGTCAGACAAGGATAGATGCATGTAATAAATTGCCATTCCAAGGAGCAAATATTAGGCTTTAGCTCTCATTAGAAATAAAAGTGCTAGCAAACTGAGATGCTTGAGGAAAGACTTATGTGAGCTCAACTGGTTTACACATTAGAATCTCCAACAGTTCACGCTTGAAATACTGTCTTTGGTTTAAGTATAGTTTTCTACATGCAACCAATAAAGAAAGACTTTTAAAAGATGATAATAGAGGTATAGACTTTTAGAAGGAGCCCATATTGGGCTCCTTGTGGGCGGAGGAGAGGTTTAGGGAGGGTAGAGCTTATCATATTAGGGGGGAAAAGGACTTCCATAACTCTTTGCTAACTTTCTATAACGCAAAAACTCAGAGCCCTGATTGTCAATCCATGTCAATCCCTAAAAGCTCAAAGAAAACAAAGAAATCTTCCCATTAGTTTAGGTTGGTGTCCTCAGCAACCTCACACCATTAGAATTCACATGTCAGCTAAGCATTGACCACATATAAGTACAACCTAAAATGAAGTCTGTGGCTTAATCAGCAAAGTATCTCGCCTCTTGTTGACATGATAAAGTTCACTTCAGCATATATAGATCCCCATTTCTCAACTCAATGATGTTAATACGACAGAACTGATCACAAATTTACACGGAGTTCCGACGCAGCATTCACAAAAATTTACTCTTCCCCGTTCCATGAACTACTACTGACACTAGTATTTACTTTTCCCAGTACCGCAGGACTTGTCAGATAGGCAAGATCTATAGCTATTGCACTGCAACCATGTAAAGCGTTTGCTCAACAAGACTCAAACTTGGAAACAACACTTCAAGCTTCACCCTTCCATCTAGGGATGTCAATTTTCCAGCACCACAACCATGACAACCCATATTTTCCAGCATCTCACTACCTTAAACACCAATTACCAACTCTTTTGACCTCAGTAATGCAGGAGACAACACAGCTATATATGTCTCTCAACTATCTAACACACTGCGCTCTCACTTTGCTATCTTCTACTAGCAAAGATTGCTTGGTCACTCTCTATCCAGTATTACTTTTTCTTTGATTGGTGCTCTACTACAACTCCTTCCTCGTTACAACTTTCTGAAGAAATGCTTGAATTAAATCAATATACCACAGCTATCTACAAGGGAAAAAACCTACCAATACCAAGGAGCCTTTTGTGAACCTAATCTCTAGTCCCGTAAAACCATGAACACAGAATTCCAGGTGAAAAAACAACCATCAGTAGCTTCAGCAACAGGGTATCGAAACTTGTGCAAGCAGTAAAGAACAAGCAACGGAATAAAGACAAAAAACAACGCAGAAAACATATTCTTCTTAATTTTTTTTAAATTTTTTTTTGGCTCTTTGGTAAGTGCAGACAGCCATAACTAAATGGTTTTAACTTTTTGTGAGTTGACTCATAAGCGCCAAAAAGCCAAAGAAATCCAGGGTTGTAAGCTAAAACCAGCTCTAAAGTCTAACCTGTTTCAGCTTTGCTCATTTGCTTCTTTGCTGCAGCTATTATATTGAAGCAATAATCGCTGCATTCATGATAAGGGTTGGATGCATTTCGACAATCTGGGTGAACTCTTCCTTCTTCAGTCATTTCCTAGTTTCCCTTATCACACCAATTTCCTGCATCGTCAATACAATACAGATACAGTTCTAACCAAAATAAACTTTCGAACTGGGCGAACTTGGAAAATATCACAATTCACAAAGTAAAGTCTAGACGTAACTTCAATCCATCTCAAGTTTTAAAGAGCTAAAACTTAAAATATTTTCCCAGTTACATGTAACATTAAACTTCTCCTAGTTACTACACCAATAAACTACAGCTTTTCTTTTTCTTTTCTTTTTTTAATCAATTGATGTCCAATGCTTGAATTCAGATGGTTTAAATTAGAAAGTGAATTAGAATATTTTTTTTTATAAGGGTGGTGTCCTGGCTAGCTTGCGCAAAACTATTCCACCGGTACGTGCTACCTCCCATCAGCACAAGTGCCGAGTAACTCTACCCACCAATACTTCTATAGGAACTCTGTTAAAGGTGTGAAGGATAACTGGATAAGATATACTTTATAATTTTACCGTACCAATCAATGATTATATTAAGAGAAAAATCAACTTTACGGTCTCATTTAATAACAGATATAGTCAGAAAATTGACTAGTGATATCCAAAGGCAGATTCGCAATATCATATATTTGTAGCTATTATCACATGGAAAACAAATTAAAGTGCAGATTACATATATAAATCACAAATAACTATGACAAATCGGAAACCGAAACCTTCTTTTTATGCAACGGGAGATAGATAAAAAGAACTGCAGCATAACATAATTCATATGTACCTTGCAACTCGAATTCGGTGGAGAAAGAGATGGCGGAGGAGCAAATTCGCAGCTTGAGGTTGAGGAAGTGGGTGTGAACTTGACCGAAAAAAAATTTGAGATGAACCTGGATTTGGGGAACGATATAACCCTTATTTGGATTTGATTCGCAATTTCGCGTGTTCCAATTAATGGGCTGGAAAGGGATTCGGCCCAAATATTGCATCTGGACGGGCCCTTTCTGTTTTGGGATATTTACAAAGGAATTTTTGGGAGAAATTCAAAAATAGCCAGATTTACAAGTGGTCATTCAGAAATAGCCACAGTTTCAAAAGTAATCGAAATTTAGCCATTTTTCATGTAAAGATAAATTTAAACAAAAACACTGTTCAAAATCCGGAAAAATACTCCAGCATAATATATTGGAGTTCCACTATATTATACTGGAACTCCAGTCTAATATACCGGAGTTCCAGTATAATATACTGGTCCAGCATAATATAGTGGAGTTTGGAGCACCGGTGCTCCAGTCTCCAGTATATTATGCTGAAGCCAGCAAAGTATATCGGTCCAGCATAATATGCTAGAAGTTCATACACAGATACACCGAACTCCAGTATATTATGCTGGACCGGTCTTTGTTGTAGCAAAATAGTGGCTATTTTTCAATGACTTGACAAATGATGGCTATTTTTGAATGACCAGTCCGAAAACTAGCTAGACCGTGCTATTTTAACAATTTTTACTTCTTGTAGCAAAGGTTGATACCTTATTTATGTTAAATATATACCCTTTTAAAAATTATATTCCATAGCTATNAGCATACTACAATTCAGAAAGGTGGAGTTGGCATTTATGTGAAAATAACAAAAGACAGGTGTCAACTTTGGGTTCATCTCCATAATGAATCTTAAATGACCATATGAGCACACAAAAAAACATGCTGAGAACTATTCGGATGAACCAGAAGGAACAAAACAAACATGGACATACAAAAATGCATTTTAAACTTCATTATAACAAAGAACACTTAAAGTAATTAATTTATTTAACACTATGCTAAAGAGAAAGTTGTAGTATCACCACTATAACTTCTACAGTACCATTTTGAAG